TGCCCTTCTCTCGGCCATGCATGCCCCTTCTTGGCTGTGCACACCATCTCTCTGACCCTTTAGGACAGGTCTCCTCTTAGCCTCTTCTTGACCCTCAGGCCTGGCAACCTCTTGGCCTTAGGGTTACAACCCTCAATACAGCTGGGGTGTCTGCCGCAGTCAAAGGCAGGCCAGCTTGACTCCTGTGCTGCCTTCGGCCTCTCCGGTGCTGACGAGCCCAGCTCATAGCAAATATAGCAGCTTGCTCAGCTCTCTTGGATGCTTTCTTAGCAGCAGCTTTCTGCCATGACTGTTGACTCTTCTGCAGCGCGCCTTCCAGGCTTGTCACTACCGGCTTTGCTGCAGGTCCCCTTCTGGGCCTCTTAACCATTTTCAGTGTTATAGCCCTTGAACCATATTACAGCTGTTTTAGGAAGTTTCTCACCTCTTCTCTCTCTGCTTCTTTTTTCTTCTCTCTCTCTGCCTTTTAAAACCTCAGTGGGGTTGGCTGTTTATATAAGCAAACTCCTTGTCAATTTCAAGGCATGGACCTCCCAACAGGACTACAAACCAACCAATCCCCACAGGTCACTCAATCCTATTGGCTGGTTTTATACACCACTATTTGTATAGCAGATCAACCAATCCCTGCAAGATGTGTCAAACAGATCAATCACAGGGCAAACTGCAGCCCAGGGTCAGACAAAAAGTATCAAACCATTAAGTTGTTTACTGCTTACTCAGGAAATGTCAGTGTCTTAGTTACCTAGTGCTGCCATAACAGAAATACCACAAGTGGACGGTTTTAATGAAGAGAAGTTTATTTCCTCACAATCAAAGTAGGCTAAAAGTCCAAATTCAGGGTGTCAGCTCCAGGGGAAGGCTTTTTCTCTCTGTCAGCCTTCTTCTGTTCAATGTTCCCCTGGACTAGGAGCTTCTCGGTGCAGGGCCCCAGTCCAAAGGACGCGCTCTGCTCCCGGCACTGCTTTCCTGATGGTATGAGGTCCCCCGTCTCTCTGCTCACTTCTGTCTTTTATATCTCAAGAGATTGCCTCAGGACACAATCCAGTCTTGTAGATCAGGTCCTGCCTTACTAACACAACTGCCACCCATCCTCCGTCGTTAACATCATAGAGGCAGGTTTACAACATAGAGGAAAATCACACTGTACCAGGAATCATGGCCTAGCCAAACTGACACACACATTTTTGGGGAGACATAATTCAAACCACGACAGTCAGTCAACCTGGACAAAAGTAACAAACTCTTTGGGTTAGAAAACAACATGAGTGCTACCCCTTCCCGCCGCCCCTCCCCCCACGCCTGCCCCCGGCCCCAAGTAACTTCTCTAAAGATCTAGGGCAGATGTAACTCCTCAGGGTTTAGGAGAAGAATCTCTCAAGCTGTTTTTCCAAAGAACCAAGGCAAAAGACCACATGAAAGAACTCATTTTACCACAGTGAATTTTAATGGATCTTTGTGGGACTATGCACATTATTGTTAAGTATATTTTGCCAATTCATGTATAATAAAACAAAACAAAAAAACCTGAATCTATTGCTGTTGAGTTAATTCTGACTCATGGTGATCCCATGTGTTATAGAGTAGAACTGAGCTCCATAGGGTTTTCTTGGCTGTAAACTTTATGGAAGCAGATTGCCAGCCTTTCTTCCGCTGTCAGTCTTTCTTCTGCTGGGTAAGTTCTAATGGCCAACCTTTAGGTTAATAGTCTAGGGCAAACTGTTTACATAAATAATAATTTATGACCTAAAAAAACAAAAAACCAAACTCATTGCCATTGAGTCGATTCCAACTCATAGTGACCCTATAGGCCAGAGTAGAACTGCCCTGTAGGGTTTCCAAGGAGTGGCTGGTGGATTCAAACTGCAGACCTTTTGGTTAGCAGCCATGGTTCTTAACCACTGTGTCACCAGGGCTCCATTTATGACCTAATCAAATACAAATTGGGAAAATGCCTTTATGTCAAGCCAAAAGTGAAATTTTCAGGCAGTCTGGCCACTGATATTTCTTCCATCTTCATTCTGAAAATTGGAAAGTTAGAAGTTCCAGTTACTGCCTCCTCCACCCACAGCCTAACCCCAAACCCTATCCGAGCCACCCAAGAAAGTGTTTAGCTGCCCAAGGTCCCTGGGTGGCGCAAACAATTTGCGCTTGACTCTTAACCTAAAGGTTGGCGGATTGAACCTGCACAGTGGTACCACAGAAAAAAAGGCCTGGTGATCTGCTTCTGTGAAGATTACAGCCAAGAAAACCCTCTGGATCAGTGGTACTCTGTAACACATGGGGTTGCCATGTGTCAGAATCAACTAGACAGCAACTAACAGCAACAAAAAACAAGTCCCATATAGAAGCTTCCATTATAAGTTTGGAATATAAGCAAGATAATTTTCCTCATTTTCTTCATCTTTAAAATAGATACAAAGATACTTACCTCATAGGATCTTTGTGGTAATTGAATTAATCACAAATGTGAAAGTACCAGGCAAAGTTCTTGATGCTTGCTAAGGGCTTACAGAAACTATCTTTTCCCTGAACACCACACACTTCCCCATTCTTATGGCATTTGTGCAGTTTCTTTGTTTAACTAGACCTCAGGATCACAGAATTAGATTAATCATAATCCATGGTCCATACATGGCTCAAGTTTAGTGATTTAATTAGTTATTTAATCAGTTCATTTTTAATAATACAGTAAGTAACCAGTTGCCATTGAGCTGATTCCAACTCATGGCGACCCCAAGTGTGTCAGAGTGGAGCTGTGCTCTGTACGGTTTTCAATGGCTGATTTTTTCAGAAGTAGATCACCAGGGCTTTCTTCAGAGGCACCTCTGGGTTGACTCAAACCTTCAACCTTTTGGTTAGCAGCTGAGAACATTAACCAGTTGTGCCACCCAGAGAATCCAGTAACAAGCACCCATAAACCCTTTACCTAAAAGAAAAGGTAGAATCTTGACAACCTATGTCTGACCAGATGACTCCCCCCGCAAACCCACCCCTGCCTCCCCTCACCTATGGTGCCTTCATCCTATGTTCATTGTTCCCTTGTTTTCCTCTCACATAATTTTATTGTCTCTATATATAGTCCTTAAAAGTACATTTAACATTTTCTAAGATTTTTTTTTTAACCTTAAAAAGGTCTAATGCTGTTTGTATTCTTTTGGAATTTACTATTTTTTGCTTTATATTGTATGGCTAAAGTATATTCATTTGTTGAATATTAGGGTATTTCATTGATTTAGTTACTCTTATTAATGCATGTTTAGATTATTTCCAAGTTTTTGCTCTTATGACTATGCTGCTAGGAATATTCTTTGTATGTCTCCCTTTGTACTTGTGCAAGAATTTCTCTTAGGTGTAGCCCTAGAAGTAGAAATAATGGGTCTTTTTCAATTCAGGAGATAATGTACAACTGTTTTCCAAAGCAGTTGCACCAACGTATATTCCCAGCACATAAGAAATCTCTTTGCATTGTAGTTGACTATGGCTACCCAGTTGTTCTGTATTCCAGACTGTTTTGTAAGCCACTCCAGGGTAAAGTAACATAGTTAGAAAGTTTAAGAGTATGGACTCTGTGTTTGACTTTTACTTTTTTCCCTATTAGCCATAGGACTGTGAGCAAATTCATTTATTCAGTCAGCAATTATTCACTGGGCATCTGAGTAGTTACTGTATCTACTACACATTTACTGTTGCCAGCGGACACAGAGGTAAACAAGAGAAAGTCTTTATTCTCAAGCAGCCTAAATTCTGGTGGGTAGAGACAGCCAGTAAATGAGTAAATATCAACCCCATATGTGGTAAGTGCTATGAAGAAAAGAAAACAGGGGGATGTGCTATAGAGTGACTGGGATGGTGGTGGTGATGGCTGGCTTAGTTTTCTAGCGTTGCTGTAACACAAATACCACAAGTAGGTGGCTTTAAAGAACAGAAATTTATTTTCTCACAGTTCTGGAGTCTAAAAGTCCAGTCAGGGTCTCAGCTCTGTCAACTTCTTCCTTGTTGGTAGCCCCAAATGTTCTTTGGCTTGTAGATGATCCTCACATGGCCTCTGTCTTCTCTCATGTGTGTCTGGTCTTTTTATAAGTCAAAAGTGATTAAGTTTAGGATCCACCCTATACTGGTATGATCTAATTGACATAACAAAAGAAAAATTCTATTTCCAAACAGGATCACATCCACAGGTACAAGGGCCAGGAATTCAACACGTATTTTTGGAAGACACAATTAAATCCATAGCAAGGCTGTTTTACCCAAAGTGTGTAGGGAAGGTCACCTGTCTGGTGAATGATAAGAAGGAGAGACCCAAGTGAAGATCTGTGGGGAGAGAGTTCTAGGCAGAAGGCACAGCAAGTGCAAAGGCTCTGCTATGGATTGAATTATGTTCCTATCATTATATCCCTTTTAACTCACTTGGGGACTCCTTTAAATAATTGTCATTGATGAAGATGATACACATGACTTATAAGCTCCAGCTTTTTGGAAGTGAGACATGTACTTAAAAGGTGTGGTAATGTAGATTTGCTTGAAAATTTGTGTCCTGAATGGGTAGTGTTATGAAAAACCCCAGAAGAGATGACATAGTCAACACTGTCATCTTTAAAAACCCACTACAAGTCTTCCACAAGTGTGGTTGTCTGGAGTGGAGACTGCCGGTGCTGGCCAGCATCCCCAGGGATGCTGGACCCATCTCTGAGAGGCCAGTCTACCACCTGAGAATAAAAGCAAGGAACAGATCACCTGCTTTCCCTCTCCTCTTCCTCTTCTTCCCTGGAGCAAAATAGATGTTTGATCTCTGGAGGAATCTGGTTGTTTTAGTTTTTTTATGGCTGCTATAAAAAATTACCACACACTTGATGGTGTAAAGCAACAGAAATTTATTCTTCCACAGTTCTGGAGGCCAAAAGTCCAAAATCAGTGTCACTGTGCCAAAATCAAAACATCAGCAGGGCTGCACTCCTTTTGGAGACTCTAAAGGAGAATTTGTTCCTTACCTCTTCCAGCTTCTGGTGGCAGCTGGCAATCCTTGTCTTGTGGCTGCATCACCCCAAAATTCAAGGTCAGTATCTTCAAATCTCTTTCAGTTCCATTTCCACATTGCCTTCTCCTCTGTGGGTTTCTGTCTGCAACGTCCTTCCACCTCTGTATTATAAAGAGACTTGTGATAGCATTTAGGGTCCACTTGGATAATCCAGGAAAACCTCTCCATTTCAGAATCCTTAATTTAAGCATATCTGCAAAGACTCTTTTTCCTCTCCCTCGTCAGGTAACATTTACAGGTTCTAGTAATTAAGACCTGATATCTTTGGGTGGCTATTATTCAGTCTACGATACTGTTCTTGGTTAGAGCAGTTAATTCCGAGGCTGACTGGACTTCAAGATTCAGGAGAAGCTTTTTCAAACCCATGACTTGGGTTAAAGGGAGGAGATAGGTTGTGGGAAGGGGTAGGAAATGAGTGAGTAGATCATACTTTCCCAATCCTTCTGGAAAAGGCCTTTCTCCTAACCTATGCTGTTCCCTCTGCCTGAGACCCTTCCTTCCCCTGCACTCCTATAAGGGCCCTGGCCTGACCTCACTGCTCTTCCTTGCCCACACTCCATGGCTGAAATCTATAACTCCCTTGTCCTCTGTGCACTGCCCTCCTCTTTATTATAACAGCAAACACTGTAGAGGCATTTCATCCACATAAATGCTGACCTCCAGAGCAGAATGTGAGCTCCATGAGAGACAGCACTGTGCGTTGCTCATAGCTGTGTCCTCAGTAGATGCTTAATAAATATAAGTTGAGTTGAATTGCATTGCGTTTCTGCTGAGAAGAGACGCACTCTCATGGCACCATTGCAATTGCACTTCTGCTCTTCCCTGGTTTCGGACCAAGGATGAGAGACCCTCTTTCCTACCTCATAGCCCTACCCTGCCTAGACTGGCTCAGAGCTCGGATCAGAACTTTTACTCTCCTTGCGTCAATTTCCCTGGTGATTCAACACATCTTCATCCCTAGCTCGTGTCTCCGATGCAGAGAGAGCTGTAGGTAATCCCAAAGTGAGACTACTTAAAAGCAGTCCTTGCTGAAAGTTCTGTTGAAGGAGCAATACTAGTGGAGCATCTATGACTGGAAGTTTAGGGGGGCTGTACAGAGAAAAGGACAGAAAAAATGACCCTTGAATGGGCTGGTCTGACCAGGAAGAGGGGTGATAGTTTAGCAAATCTTAATGTTCAAGGGAAAGTGCAGTTTGGGAAAACACATGTCACTGGAAGACAAGAGACTGTTCTTCTCATTTCTTGGTTCTGACTTTTGCGTTAGTCGTTGCCCTCCCTCCAGGCTAAGGGTGGGTGCTCCTGGGGCAGACTGTCTCGTATGAGCATGGATGGAACTTCCAGGCCACTTCTAGAAGGTTCCTCATGGTATATTCTCTGCTCATTAGTTAGCGGCTCCTCTAAAGGGAAGCCAAGGAAGGAGAGGAAATGCAGGCCACATTGGCCTCTTGCTTAGAGGCTTTAATTCAAGGGGTGGGGACTTAGACTGCTCTTGGACTTCAATTATCTATGCTGCTTCTGCCCACGAAAAATGGTACCCTCTTGCTCATATATTGTGATAGTGTTTACAGAGTTCTTTACAAATTTCAAAGCACTTTCAGACATTCTATCTTATTTAATTATTATCCCCTTTAAGGAAAAAAAAAAAAAGTTATTTTTAATACAGTTTTCTTAGGGCAAAACAAAAAAGACTGAAGCTCAGAAAAATTGTGTGACTTACCCACAATAACAGTGAGAAAGGAGGATAAATCAGCACTTAAACCCAGGTTTTCAGAAATCAAAGCCTTTCTATTAATGTTTGTCTATCTTTCTTGGACTGGGTCCAAAAATGTCTTATGACTTGGTACTCTTATGAGGGTAGGGCAAGTTCCTTAAAGCAGCTTAAACAAGTCTCTTGGGTGAGGCCAAGGGAAGGCTTGGATCATCCCTCAGCCTCAGAAAGGCATGCAAAATAGAGATTCTCTCAGGAAAAAGGCTGAACTATCCACTAGAGTCAGACTGTATTGATGTTAATGCTAATAATGTGTTGGTAATCACAGGCATGTATAACAGAGGCCTAGAAATTTATTAATTTGAAATTACATTTAAAAACTGCAGTTGAGAGTATACCTAGGACCTAGATCTTGACTCCTAAATGCCATTTCCTTCTCTGAAGAACCCTGGCTCCACGGAGAAGTGCTGATTCTAGGTCTGACGCAGAGAAGCACGAGGTTATCCTGGTACACACAGCTTGTTGTACCAGAAAGGGAAGTGCTCCAAGATTAATGGGGTTATATCAAAAGGATACAGAAGCCAGCTTGAAGGTGCTCCCACTGCCAAATCAATTTAAAAAAAAAAAAGATGATGTTGGATTATAACAGAGTAAATTTAAAAAAAAAATCCATGAATCTGTAGTGATAGAGAGAACAAAAGGGAAGAGAAAAAGAGAAAGAGAGAACAAAAGGGAAGAGAAAAAGAGAGAGAGAACAAAAGGGGAGAGAAAAAGAAAAGGCTTTTCTTTACAAAAGAATGACAACAAATAAGTGTAGAAATGACAGTAGAATTAGAACATCATCATTTTGTAACCCTCACTGTAAATGTGGGTTTGGTTAAGAATCACTGACAACCGACAAACCAACCAGTTGCCATTGAATCAGTTGCAACTCATGGTGACCCTGTGTGTCAGAGTAGAACTGTGCGCCATACTGTTTTCAGTGGCAGATTTTTTTAAAGTAGATCACCAGGACTTTCTTCTGAGGTGCCACTGGATGGACTGAAACCATTAACCTTTCTGTAAGCAGCCAAGAGCTTTAATCATTTGTACTACACACAGGTACTCCATATAGATGTTAAAACTTCTAGGTAAAATGGCTGTTAGGGGATAGGATATTAACATTGTTTCAAAGTATCACCACACAGATTATTCATTAATTACAAGGGGAAAAAATGCCTTTACATGGAGAGATCTGGTAGTCACCATCTTAACCAAGAGCCCAAGGTTGGCATTGTCAATTGTGGGGTGGCCTGGCCTTATGTAACTCGTGAGGTAAGATGCAATGGGAAGCACACGTCATAGCCTCAGTGGTGTCCTGGCCAGCAATGTTGACCTAAACCTAACCCTGAGGAAATAGGCATTACCCAGAATATAGGACACTCTGCAAGACAGCTAGCCTAGACCCTTCAAAGAACTCAGTACCATGAATATCAGTATGAGACAGTAGTGTGTTCTACATTGGCGCAAGCTAGAGAGTATAGCAGTTGAATGCAATGCTTAAACCTGAACTGGATACTGGCCTTAAAAAAAAAAAAAGACTATACAGAATATTTTGGGAACAAGGTGGGAAATTTGAGTATGAATTCAATGTTAGATGCTATTATTAAATTAATGTTCATTGTCTTAGGTGTGATAATGGTGTTGTGATTATAGAGGAGAATGTTCTTGTCCTTGAGAGATACAGGCTGCAATTTTTAAGGGTGAAATGTCATGACACATAAAGCCTACTTCAGGATAGTTTAGCTAAAGGAAAGTATGTGCATAAATATATAGAGAGTGAAGTAAAGTTGGTCTGGCAAAAATATCGCCAGTTGGTGAATCTAGGTGAGGGGATATATGGACACTTATTGTATTATACTTTCAACTTCTCTATGGGCTTAAAAATATTGAAATTAAATGAAAGTTAAATTACACCTACTTCTCACTCATCGACTATCTTGTTATCTGACATTTTGCATTTATGACAATAGTAAACAATCATCTACCCTGACTATTTTGCACATTAACAACGTACGTTTGGCAGTAATGAACACTGAGGTGCAAGGTGAGAGTAAGGCTGGCTGTGATAGTTAAGGTTATGTGTCAAATTGACTGGGCCATGATTCTCAGTGGTTTGGCATTTATGTAATGATGTAATTTGGCAGTTATGTAGTGATGTAGTCATCCTCCATTTTGTGATCTGATGTAGTATCCTCCATTTTTGCATAATGCCAATGCTCACATAACTACTTGGTCTTTGGAACCTAACCATGCTGTTAAGGGAGGAGTGGGTGTACAGTGAAGTCCTTTAAATTACAAAGGACCTTGGGTTTCTCTCCAGTAGTGGTAATGTGTTTGCAGGAAAAGAGACAATCTTGAGCAAAGGATAGCTTTAGAGCAGAGCTTTAGAGCAGAGATAGAGCACAGCTTGAGATCAAACCAGAGACATAGGCCTTTTTACTACCATAGTCCCTAGCTCAGGCAGCAAGGGACCCAAAGCCCCAGAGCCATTCAGACTGCTCAGCTTCCAATTCACAGACTTTTCCTCTTTCACTCCACCAGACAAGCTTCTCATAAATCCACAGACGCATTTGGAATCACTAGAGAAGAGCATCAACATGTGCTTTGAAATGTAAGTAAAATGTTTCTTCTTCAGGATGCTTGCAGTCAAAGTCAATTCTTCTGTAAAGCAGAGCTCTTGAGACCACCTCCAGAGAAGAGCTTTTCCTTGAAATGGGCTTGCTCATTCCCACATTAACCTGATTATTCCCCTCTCATTAAAGCTAGTGATTTCGAAACTTTCTCTAGAGAAAAAATGCCCTAGATATTTGTAATTCTATTTCTGGTCCCTGTGTTTTCGAGGATGTCACCATTCCTTGCCTCCTGTGACTAATACACACTGTTCCTCAGAGCCAATCCACTTCCGCATTTAGAAAGTGGCTATTGGTGAAGTTGCCAGCAAGAGCTTCTCTGAGCATATCTGGAAAAAGTTCTGGGAAGCAGAATGATCTAGGTGCTGGACGGCCGCTCTGGAAGCAGGGCGAGTGTTGTAACTTGCTCTTATCTGCTGGTCTGTTTTGAAAATAATCACTCATTCACTTATTCAGGATAAGTAACAATCCAAGATGAGATGAATAACCAGTTGTGGATTTCATTTCCTGTGAATGTCTTCTGCACAGGGGTCTGACTGGTAGAGAGAAGCATTCCAAAAATGTTTTGAGCAAACACAGCGTAATTAAGAAAAATGAGTAACTTCCCAAGATATACTGCTCTGCTGGGGCCATCATTCATTTAGGTGTTTGCATGCTAACACGTTTACTTGCAATATCGATCTTGTGTTTTATGTTAAAATTACATCTCCTGTACAAACTAATCAATTATTTTGAACAAGGGATAGTGGAAGAGACTAAAGTTTACTTATCACCAACTGCACACCAGGTAGTTTAGTAGTTTCATTTAATTTTTATAACATCCCTGTAAAGAAGGTTTTGGGGGGCAGTGGTGGTTCAGTAGTAAATTCATGTCTTCTATGCGGAAGATCCAGGTTCAATTCCCTGCCACTGCACCTCCTGCACAACCACTGCCCATCTGTCAGTGGAGATTCGCGTGTTGCTATAATGCTGAACAGATTTCAGAGGTGCTTCCAGACTAAGACAGACTAGCAAGAAAAGCCTGGCCATCTATTTCTGAAAATCAGTCAATGAAAACCCTATGGATCACAATGGTCTGATCTGCAACTAATCACAGAGTTGGTGCAGGACTGGGCAGTGTTTTGTTTCATTGTACATGGGGTTACTATGAGTCAGTGGCTGACTCAGCTGAAGCTAACAACAACAACAAAGAAGGTTTTATTTTCCTCATCTCACAGAGTAGAAAAGAAAGACTCCGAGAGTTAAGAGACTTGCCTCAATCATGCAGTTAGTAAGCACTAAAGCTAAAATCCATGCTCTTTCCACAATACTGTACTCTCCAGTAATTTAGAGTCAACTCTATTACACCTTCTCCTCACTTATCAAATAGCTCGTTATCCGACATTTTGCATTTACCACAATAGTAAAAAATCTACTATCCAACCATTTTGAGCGTTAATGATGTATGTCTGGCAGTAACGAATGCCGAGGTGCGAGGCTGTGATGGTCAAGGTTATGTGTCAAATTGATTGGGCCATGATTCTCAGTGGTTTGGCAGTTATGTAATGATGTAATTTGTTAGTTATGTAATGATATAGTCATTCTCCATTTTGTGATTTGATAGGGTCATCCTCCATTTTCACATAACACCAATTTTCACATGTTGACCTGTCTTTGGAACCTAACCATGCCTGTAAGTAAGGAGTGGGTGTATTTGCTTGATAGGTGGTGGCCAGCATGCTTTAAATCATTTGCTGATTCCCTTTCACCCCCAAATACATATATGCACTCTTTTTCCCACATTACCAGTTGGCATGTGCTCTTAGTGAAATGATCTTCGGTAAAATCTGTTGGGAATAATAAGAACATGCATCTCCATACCAGGTATTAATGAGGACCATACTTCTGCTTACTTCCATTAGTCTGGAAAATAAACTTGAATCAACCTATAATTTCACCCATTTAGTATATCATTAATTTCAGTCATTCTCAATCCTCTGAAGTTGGTACATACTAGGATGCCACTAATTTTCCTAAGAGATGTTGTAAAAGTTACACATTAATTCTGACAAAATTAAAAAACTAATGGCTCTTTCCTGGAAAATAATCATACAGCATTCTGAGGAGACATAGTAGGATTTAAGTGTGGGCACTGCATTAAAATATCTGAACTGTTTAAACTGATAAAGTAACTTATATCTATAAATTTCAGTTCCTGCACAGATAAAATAGAGATAAAAGTGATACTAACTTCATAAGGCTATTGTGATAATTTTATTAAATTAAAAAATCAAACCTGTTGCCATCGAGTCAATTTTGACTCATAGTAACTATACGATAGAGTAGAACTGCCCTATAGGGTTTCCAAGGCTGTAATCTCTATGAGGAGATCTGGTGGCACAGTGGTTAAGAGCTCAGCTACTAACCAAAAAGGTCAGCAGTTCGAATCAAACAGCCACTCCCTGGAAACCCTGTGGGGCAGTTCTACTCTGTCCTAAGGGGTAGCTATGACTCAGTATCGACTCGACGGCAATGGGTTTGGATTTTTTTGGTTTAATCTTTATGGAAGCAAATCGTTATACAGCGTTCTTCTGCGGAGCAGCTGGTGGGTTCAAACCACCGACCTTTTGGTTAGCAGCCAAGCACTTAAACCACTGCAGCATCAGGGCTTCCTATTTTTTTAAATAGTGGAGACAAAATTCAGCACAGAGCCTGGCACACAGAATAGCTTACATACTGAACAAAACAAAACACTCGCACACACCCAAAAAGCAAATAAGATGATTTCAAATTACAGTAGTGATAAATAAGGTGAAGAAAATAAAACAGGTTAATGGAAAGAGAGTGTAGGGAGGGGCCACTCTAGCTGGGGTGGACAGGGAAGGCTGGCATTGAGGAAGTGATGTTTCAGCCGGGACCTGAACCTGCAGCAAGAGGTAGACATACCAGAGGAAAATGGCAACAGTGCCGGGCTTAGATAGAGAAGACCTGAGTTCAAGTTTTGACTCCACTACTTCTGGATTAGTTCACTTTGGGCACATCTAGATCTCATGCTCCTGGCCTGCAACATGAAAAAAAAAAAAAAAGCTACTCAAAGGGATGTGAAGATTAAAATGAGGTTGTTAATGCACGCATGAAAGTGCATTATAAACTATAAAATCCTACAAAAGGTGAACTATTACATCATTATTTATACTGATAATACTTTCTTTTTTTATTCATTTACTATTCAGACATTTCTTTATTTCCTCATTCACTGGGCAGAATTAGTGAAGTCCGGCTAAGAGCCTGAAACTGGGGAAGCACTGGAATAGCTCTCACTTAGACTCCTTCACAAACGTCCTGGGAGGTTTTCAGTATTGTTGCCATTTTACAGATGAGGACACTGGGAATTACCTTTAATGACTTGCCTGATGCATTCTAGGTAATTGTCCATCTCCACTACCAGGTCAGAACCCCTTGAGGCAGAGGTGTCATTTATAAGGTCTTAATTCCTGGGTTGTGCAAATGATTAATGTGTTCCACTGCTAATCGAAAGGCTGGAGGTTTGAGTTCACCCAGAGGCAGCTTGGAAGAAAGGCCTGGTGATCTACTTCTGAAAAATCAGCCATCGAAAACCCTATGGAGCGCAGTTCCACTCTATTACACATGGGGTCACCATGAGTCAAAATCGACTTGATGGCAACTGGTACTGGTGCACAGTGGATGTTGGTTTAGGTGTCTTTCGTCACTCAGCCCCTCCTCATTGCTGAAGTCCCTGTGTGCTCACAGGAGGTGCTAAGCACACACTATAAGAATGAAGACAAAATGGGAATGACAGGGCTGACCTTCTTCCCCAAGAAACATCTGGTGGAAAAATGACCTTGCTAGGTCCCTGAGAAAAGGTCCACCTATAAACGAAGTGACCATATTTTCTGAGCCCATGTAACCTGATAGTAAGACACAGTATTTAATGCCAGACTGTCTCTAATGGGCATATGGTTGCTATAGAGATGAGTCATCTTTCACCAGGGGCTTGGGTCTTAGCTAACTTGCCGATGACCAGGTAAGAGGGAGAGCAGGAGGAGACAAAACAGGTACAGGTGAAAACAAAGTCCAGGTCCAGCCACCTCCAAATTCCTGTGTTTTGCTGCTCTTACTCATTAAAACCTGGGGAGGATGGCTCTTTGCTATTGTTAATCTCCCTGGGGTAACAACTACAAAATGAGAGCTGGAGCTGGTTTTGCAGGAATGATCTGTAAGGAATGCAAATAAGTAAATTCTTGAAATGGCTGGCAACTTCAAATCTCCTAGGCTCATCTGATGGGACAGAAACCAGTTCTAGAAGCCCCTAATAGTTGTCCCTTGCTGTTAGTCCAAAGGGGTTCAAAAGCTTTGCTGTATACAGAGAGTAGGGGTAGGAAAGAGAGAGGTGGGTGGAGAGGGGAAGGGTAAGAGAGGGGTGAAGAGAAGAAAGGGTGGAGTGAGAAGAGGGATCGATTCCTTTAATTGCTTCCTTTGGTTGTGGTGGCTTTTGCTTTCCAGGCCTGTGGCAGGATGTAAAGTGGGAAGTGTTCTGTGGTCTTAAGAAGAATTGCAGCTGGTGGTGGTTGGCGAAAGTACATGGAAACTCAGGAGAGAGGAAGCAGAGGCCAGGAGGAGGGAGAGAAAGAGCAACGGTGTTGGTGAGATAAAGAAGACTGTCTTCCCCTTCCATGAGGACAACCTCCTAGTTTGCGAGTCCAAAGCTTTCCAATCAGTGCCTAAGGTCTGGTGTCCTGGAATAATCACTGGTTTGGTTTGGGTTTTACACTTTCATGTAGTGTGACTTTGGGCAAGTCAGTTTATCTCTCTGGAACCCAGATTCTTCAAGTGTGCAGTGGAGATATACTACGTAGAGCCTAAAGTTGTTGGAGAAAATAAATAAAATGCCTGGAAAATTAAAGCGCACGCGCGCGCACACGCAAACTATTCTTGAGGTCTCCTAGAAATGACTAGGAGCCGTGATGGTGGGAGAGGGCTTCAGAAGGGCAGCACACTCAGTAAGTCAATGTGGCCCCATTCCCAGCAGCTCACCTACATTTTCCAGACACTTCCAACTCCCTGGCCATCAGGTTCTGCATTGTGATGCCCTTCAACGCCAGCCAGCTACAGCGCCACTCCCCTGCTTATCCCCGCAAGGCTGCTTTTCCCGCTCTCTAGTCACCTGATTACAAAGGCATTAGAAGGAAGTTAACAGTCTGTACTTGTAGCCTTTGATCGCTTTCGTTAAGTAAGACTAAATGAAAGGGAAAAAGAGAGGGAGGAGAAAGGAAGGAACTAAGATGGAAGATTGGTTTTCTTTTTACTTACC